ATAAAGTAATTGTATCGATCACAGTTAAAAAATAAATTATAGAGCAAGAGAACTGAAATGGTAAGCCTCACTCACGTGCTACCAGTGCGAAACTGAATTTTTCAAATTATTTTACAAATATGCTGTATCGTAACTAAAATAGTTTTCTTATTTTCAATTAAACGGAGTAAGCAGGAACGTTTGATTCAGAATAAATCATGAGGCAAAGAGTTAACAACTGACAACCAGAATCACATATTATTCGTCACGTTCAAAATGTTGTATCTTGCAAAGAGAAAATTAGATTATTTTCACGTGTACCTGTATTTAAAATCCTAATGCAAGACGTAAAGTATGACAAGATGACACGATTTTTTTCTTGAATTTTATTTGCATTCTATGAAGAGAACTTCTTACATTTTATGTTGACAGAAACGGTGGTCGCGAACGTGTCAACTTATTGTTACTGAAATCGGTGGTAGTGAATGTGTGTACACAAAATGTCTCATTTTAATCTATAAATGCAGCTATTTTTGGAACTATTAGGTATTTAAGAAATATCTAAAATGCAATATTTTCTATTTCGATGGGTTGTAGTGTAAATAAGTTAACGGATTTTTGTAGAAAATAATCTATTAAATCGATGGATGTAAGAAAAATTGGTACTTATGTATTATACGAATTATCTTTGTTTTTAAGAAATAAAATATTAATAATAGTAATAATAATGATAATAATAATAGAATATTGATAATGTGTTATAATATTAAATAAATACTAACCCAGATCTAACCGAAATGACTGACCAGCGTGACTCTGAGTTATTTACTAGAAAATACTTGAAAAAATGGTAACGACCTTCGAATTTTCTATACACGTCCACCTAGAAACAAACTAAATATAACAAATTACTGTCCTTTTAAAATAGAAAAAATTGCATTTGAGACATTTTTTTAAACTTCGAATCGCTGTGGAAATAAGTTCATTTACAGATTAAAATGGGGCACCTTATATGTCTCTGTAAGGATAAACGAAAAGCTTCAAACAAAGAATTCATTGTAAAACCCAAAAGGGCACTAGAACATATCTGGATGTCTAAGGCAACGTAAATACTTAATATTTAATATTACTAATATGTATTATTAATACTTAATATATAATACTAATATGTAATATTATTTACTTCCATTTTTATTATGTTTTTAGTTCTCCATAGAATTTCCATATTTGCTTACACTTCTGTTACTAAAGAGCAATTTCAGTAAGAGCAGTTTCGTGTAGCGTGTAGATACCATCTGCTTTTACCAATATCCAACCGACTTCTCGAGCTATCAATAAAATTTAAATCATATCCAAATTCGAATACTATTCATAATATAATAAAATAAATAATATAAAAGACAATAAAGTACTCGATTAAAACTTAAAACAGATTTTATATTATTTTAAGTACAGCATTTCCTTATTTAAGACACCCGCGACCACGTGTAATTTCCAGAAGTCTATAACTGAATATCGTAAATGTCTGCATTTGAATAAACGTACATAAACATACAAAATATATGAAAGAACTATCTTGTCAGCACTTAGCCACAGATTTTAAAATAACGTAGGATTCATTGATCGCCATTCTTCTCAAAAATGCAAAATTTTGTAGAACTACATTGCCGCCATTCTCCTAAAAAGATGATAAATGCCGTAAGACTACGTTACTAATCGCGAATATATCAATATTATAATATAAGTAGCTAAAATTAATACCTACTTAACCCTTTATCCTATGATTAACTTCATAATTGCTCTCTCTAGGATAACTTTGTCATTAATAATTTACCAATGAAAAAAAATTCCCAATTCATCTATATCCACCTTGACTTCAGAATATAACAAACGGTATTTAATTAAAACCTAAGATAATTAAGTGATATTTAATTCTTGTAACTTCCGTTTGAAAACTTTTTCACGACAGTAACTGAATATTGTGTGATAAGGGGTTAACATTAGAATCAAGAAAAAAAACAGAAATATCTGTTAGTATGTTCTCATATCTAAATCTAAGACTTACGGCTAAGAAACAACGTGCTCGGACTTGAGAATCGTAAACGATGCAAACGATGAACGGATTTATCGCAGTCTGCATTTTCGCTCCATGCATTGTTGCTCTTGGACCAATAAAACGCCGGCTGACAATCTGCCGTAGCTCCTAACAAATGGTAACAGATAACGGATACGAAAAGGGTCACACCGTTGTGAACGATAAGGTGGAACGACAGTGACGAATAGGCTTCCGTGCAGTTCCGCGAGGTTTCCGCGAGTGCAATTCCATCGGCAATGGACTCGAAGCCGCTATCATGCACGGTCCAGAGCAATTCCAATAGGCGATCCATTATCTTAAGCGGCGTCAGTCCAATCGATTCGCCTCTCTTGCTTTTTCTGATCCCGTCCCACTATCTCGGAAATGCCTCCTTCTTTCGCATCTTCCACTCTCCGATATTCGTTTACGCGAAATGCTACTCGAGTTTTCTTTTCAAACTGGTGTACCGAAGACACCGATTAATATTTAGAAGGATTCTTATTATACGGGGCGCAGTTACATCAGTTATGTTTAACCCTTTGCACTCGTATGTCATGCTGGAGATGACTATACAAATTTGTTATACTTTATTTGTGGTAGTTTAAAAAGTACCACACTTGGAAAGATTATAAACATTAAATCTTATTACAATAATAATAAGTAAAATGAATATAAAACGTTGAATTCTACCACTGTAAATTACTTTAATTCATTTCCCTAAAAATAAATACAAGTTTACACCCAACAACATTGGAAGTAAATCGAGTGCAAAGGGTTAACCCTTTATTGCATTCCGTTCCCGATCGGAAACTTAACACTAAACACTAACTAAAATTTGATTTGATAAAATTTTTGCATTTTCTTTCGCTCATTTAACTTTATATCAATCCTTATATTATTTTATATTGTATTAATCAGTTTCCCAATATTTGCTTTTTCTTTTGTTTCTGTTTTCACTAAGAAAAATTTATCGTTTAATTTGTTTACCTTTATTTTATAACCAGTTATTTGATCGGTTACTGAATCTACTAGAGTGTCAGAAGAAAATCGACCACCACAGATCAGATGCTTTGTTGATTTAATATGACATCAATTGTCGTTAATTTTGAACTGACCAATTCAATTGTTACTGAAGAATTAAAAATCGTAATTATCTGTAGATCAAAAACATATTACAGTGCAGCTCTCACGTCTTGAGCTAGGTCGGCCAAGCAAAAAGTGTCAGTGTTGCTATAACTACGGATATAAGTTCGTTTACCAAAGCCTTTTGTATGATCGTTTCGTTGTCATGTTATACAAGATATTCGATTACTTGAAGTAAATATTTTAAGAAATTATCGTATATGTCAAAATGAGACCACAATCAGAACTAAGAAAATTGTGATTTCTGTTTTGTTTACAATTTTTTAATGGCGAAAAATCTCTCCGAAGTACGATAAATTGATAATAGCAATGTGCGTGATATAAGTAGGTCAGTAAAATCACAGACAATGATATATTGTACACAAGACAGAGACCAAAATTTGATCCATTAAATGATCGCTACTAAAACGCATATTAATTAATAACAATATATTATTATTAAAAAAAAGAAGTCGAAACCTGCAATTTTATTAGGCTTAACTTTTATTTTATTTTGTCTTATTTTACCCTTTAAAGTATCTATCACACGTACATAAATATCTCGTATAAATTTTACTGCGTGTATATATGAGAAGCATAAAGAAAGAAGAATTTATGAAAGAAGCATAACTGTCGCCCATATTTCGGAAGAAATACAAAAGCAAATACGATAATAAATTGTCAAGAGCAAAGAGAGCTACAGAAGTATGCAAAGTAACTCAATAATGTTCTGCTGAATCCTGAAAAAGGATTCTTACGATAAAAGAGATCACAATTTGTATCGAAAGAAATCCATATCATTCGTAGATACTTAATATTAGAACCACCGTACTACTCAAAATGACTGGTTTCGATCTTTTTGTTTCGCAATTATTATTGTAAAAGCATTGCATATTCGAAATAATCTTGAAAATAAATAGTTTCACATGAATACTATAATGAATATTTGAAGAAACTGAAAATAATCTATTGTTACAATTTTGATAGGGATTACACGTTAATCGTTTTAAATGCTCGATAGTTTTAGTGTAAATAATAATATCTATACTTGCTTAAACAGCAGTGGTCGAAGTTAAAGCACTGTACAATAACTAATACATATATTAATAAAGCAATTCTTAAAATGGTATTTGCACGGTACGCAGTGCTCCAGATCACAATGCAGAAAAATTATAATATAGAATTCTTTCCAGCAGCGCGTAATACATGGATGGAAAAGCGGGAACAATTAATTATACGTGACTGACGTGGTACGTAGCAGCCAGCATGGAATCTAGAATACTATGTGAAATAACGTACGACTGGTATAGTTGCTAGATGTCTTCGGCAAGACATGATAATTATGCGACTGACTTCAGAAAAAATATAAAATCCACTTGAAAGCCACCAGCTTTTAAAATAAACTTTTTGGGAAGCAATCTTAACATTAAAACTACCGGAAGGGTTAAATTGATGCACTTCAAAATTTTTATTTTGCAAGAATTTAAATTATAAAGGCGTTTCTCCGAAACATTCTCAATGCAATTAGTGTATTTTTTATTTTTATTTTCAATTTTTCATAAAAATCAGAACAATATGTTTCTTTAGATTTAAAAAGCCTCTTAGCCTTATATCTGTACAAATACACGGATTTAATTGAAAGTCTTTCGCAAACATGCCCTCATAATTTAAATACTTGTAAAATAAAAATTCGAAAGTGGGTCAATTCAACCTGTCCGGTAGTTTTAGAGTTACAAATGGTTTACATTATAATGAAAATTTATTATATATTTAAACAACATGTATTTACTCTATCTACATATCTAATGGTCTTTTTTCAGGTTGCGGTAGTATTGCACCGAAATCTACGTGGGGTAAAATAGCGACCATGGGTTACGCTAGCCTCGGAATCCCACTGACTGTGGTTTACCTATCGAGTGCCGGAGGTCTATTATCCAGGTGTGCCAGAGGTGTCTTCACACGCGCTCTTTGCTGCTGCCTTTGTTCGAATTGCGGCTATTGTTGCTACGATGAAAGAAGAATGGAGGTCAGTACAGAAATGTTTACTACATAGTAAAATATTCGTCACAAAGTAACATAACACTTGTAGTAGGTGACCTTCTTAACTGACAATTAATTTACTTAATTTACAAATCTAAGTCAAACCTGATATTCGAATTTTTTAAAATTTGTATTTAGAATACAAATTACTCAAAGGAAAATTATTACAAAAATCAGCTAAAAGATGTGCTATATTAATTATAACGCGCTAAATGTACAGTTGTTTGCAAATATTTTATGATTAAAGTAATTTCGCATTAAAGATTACGTATCGTAAACACTAATTTCTGAAGGTTTCAAATTATTGGATTAAAGTAAATTTGAACTTAAGAATTTTTAATCGAGGTAAAAATATTTTAAATGTATGAATTTTATATAAATATTTGAAATTAATTTTTTTGCACTTCTATAATATACTTAAAAAATCTTATACGAATATTTCACAAATAATTTTAAACGCTGTATATTTGTCTATATAAGTAGTACCTACATTTATATAAAAATGAATGTAAGAATATTTATATAATTTATAGATAAATATATTGCTTCAAGTTATTCTTATTATTTAAAAGTTCATCAAACTTATGTAGCTTGATAGTAAAAAGGTGCTAATATTTCACTTGTATAGAATTCAGAGATCAATAAAAATGCTTTTATAACTTTAATCAAAATATCCTATATTTCGTACGTAACGTTGCATTCTTCCAAGGAGTTTAAAATGAAGGTGAACGCAGAAGAAAGAAATTCTGGTCTGTATATTACATACACGAATTCATCGCCCATGCACAAGCGTTAAATACAAGAAAAAGTATAATACTGCTTGAATAACATACTGTCTGATTTTCACGAGCTCGGAAGAAAATATATTTTTATTGTGTATTAAAATATAAATATGTTGAATACTGTATCAAGTGAATATGAAATGTGTTATAACAAAATGCTATTCTATTTCTTAGAAGAACAATAAATAAATAGCCAAAAAAGAATAACAAAAGTAAAAAAAATAAAATAGTAGGCACAGTATAATAAATGACAGAATAATTAAAAATTGAATCAAATTCTCCTTACAAACGAATACAAAAAGGACATACATATTAATTTGGTATATTGTCACGAATAAAAGTAATTAATACCAATAATGCTTACATATTTACATGTGAAACAAACATTTTTCGGAATGTATCATTTTTAATATAACTACATTCTTCCCACGCTCAACAGTTTTTACAATGTCCTGCATAATAACCTCCTATAACTTGTTTCTTAACACATTGAATGACACGGGGGTCACTGATGACCCTCAACCAAATTGAATTACTATAGTTCTCTCAATTATGCAATGATTATTTGAAAATATTTCTATATTATAAATAATGCTACCAAATGTGGTGATATTCAGCTAGATAAACGTGTAATTATAATAATGCAACTCAATCAAATGATTTAATATTATATTTTCTTCATTTTGTGCATTTTGCTCTATAAAATCGCGTGGCATATAACGTGTTAGTCTACACGTTTTATACTCAATAGCGAAACCGAATATGGAATTAAGCATACTGTCCCGATTTTGTCAAAATTAATTTTTAGAAACAATTTGAAACAGCACTAGAAAATGATGGCACTTTCCCGTAGATCGATCTTAAAATTACTTTTAAATTGACATGGACATAGGAGAAGGAGAGACGTATGAGGAAGAAACGGCAACAGGAAGAACTGGCTCAGCAGCAACAGCAATTGCAGTTGCAGGAACCCTTTTACGTCCGCGCAAATGCGTCAACGTTCACGAGCACAGTGGAAATTAAGGCCAGCCCAAAGGACGAAGTGTCGAGTCTTGGCTCCGGTGACAGGCCAAACGTTACTATATTCGCACCAATCAGCATTTGTCTCGGCGCAATGCTCTGCTACATTGTGGCAGGCGCTTTCACTCTGCACAAGTTGGATGACTGGTCCTTTGTGGGTACGTTGCAAAAGAGATTCCAGATTTTTCCCGGATGAGAAACATTCTTTCAAAAGTATGAAACCTATCACATGTGATCGTAATCTATCCAATGCAATGGTGTGCTAGAAAGAATCTCAGAGATTACTTGACGTGTTATAATACTGAATTCTTATTAGAGTTTTTATAAATAGATATATGCCAGTTTATAAGGAGAGTAATAAACATATATTTGTTTTATATTTAATGTTTCAGATTGTATTAACCATTTTTTTACAGATTAAATTCTATAGTAGGAATTAATGTTAGAACTGTGTCACAAGATAAAAAATGTCTTTGAGCTTAATTAGAAAGATTCTTACTATTACAAAAAAATGAAGAAATTTTCGAACATCATTTTGAAGATATTATTCAGCATGTCAACTTTAAACATTATAGATAGATTAACCCCTTTGGATCCCAACGCACATTATAATGTACACTGTTTTACTTCTTCAATATTTGAAAAAATATTAAAACAACGACAGTCAGTCATATATATCCTTTCCTTTGAGCCTATTTACATTATAGAAGTATTATACTACCATTATTTTATTCGAAATAATATCGTTATTGATGTTGTATTGAATGACAGTCCATTTTTGTTAGATATGCAAACATAATTTTCTACAAAAATGAAGTCTGAAGGAGTTAATACATAAAGAGGTATTTCAAAAATATACTGTGTCTCTTTCAGATAAAATGGATAAGTTACATTAGTTCCATAAAGAAAATCTGTACTTTTATATAATGTTCGAATTCATTTAAAATCCCTTTGAGATTCCAATTTAGAATATTATAGTATGACACTCTTAACAAATTGAATTTTTGAAGCCATTCGAAGTAAAGAAATTCCTTAAGAATTATTTCATATTATATGTAATCTAGATTAACGATACAAAATACTTTTTTCCCAAAATATTTATATTACAAAATGAAGACAGCCAGTTTATACGTACATCATTAATTTTTTTACCAAAAACAATTCTAAAATACTTTTACAGCGCGATACCCCTAAGAATTTCCCTGAAACTCCCACAGTTAATCAATCTAAGTTTCAAATTGTAAAGCTAGATCCCCTTTAAGATTCACAGCAGCGATAAAAATCTTCGCATTGCGCGCCTAAACATCCCGTTTCATGTTTGTCCGTAGATGCGAGCTACTTCTGCTTCATGAGCCTGAGCACTATCGGGTTCGGCGATATGGTACCCGGTTCCTACCCCCGTCAAAACCTTTACGAGTCAAGGAACATAACCATTTGGTTCTGCTCCTGCTACATAATGTCCGGAATGGCGCTCACCGCGATGTGTTTCAACATCCTCCACGACGAGATCGTCCATAGGCTCAGCCATCAGGTGGAGAAGCCGGAGCCGATCAAGTCCAGCCCAAGCGTGGACGAGCTGTCGACGGACCATTTCGCGCTGACCTCGTGACAATTTCCGTCTGGCAACCTGTGCCACAGGAACGGCACCGACGAGAACGACATATGCGGAACAGAACCGCCCACCAGTCTGTTCGCACACGAGAACGAAATCAATATCTTGAAGGACTCTTTCAATCAGGTAGACGTCACTAGAGACTGCAAGCCGATCTTGAAACTCGAGGATCACGTGCCGTCGATTCCTAGTGTTTACATGTTGCCGAAGGTTGACGAAGAGGCTGAAGAGAACACCGAAATGTAAAACTTTACACACTTCTCCGTAGCTCGAACAAGTATGCTTGATTTAGGTGACAACGTGAAAAGTAACTCCCGGTGGATAGGATACACCGTGGGTCTGATAGATATATACACGTAACGCAAGATATACATGTATGTTTCAAAATAGAGGATTACTCGTTCTATCGTAATGGTATAATACGCGCTTCAACGTGTAGTCAAAGGTCGTTCGATTCAGTTCACTCTTAACGTTCATTGCGAGAATGGTTTCGATCGGAGATAGCGGCTGCGACGGTTGTACGTCTTTTATGAATTACTTTTTTATCGACTTTTCGTGGGAACGAAGCGTTTGTTCTAGATGATTGAGAAATGGATTATTTTGGAATATTTGTCGGAAAGTAGATATTTACATAGCCGGTTAAGGGAAGGTTTTCGTGCCGAATTTTTTCGACTGAACACTAGTTTAATAAACAACTTCGTGAGAGACACAAGATACGAGGAAAGTATTCTCATTGGATATAAAAGGGACAGAGAGATTTCGAAGAAAGTACGCGTAGGTAGAATGTCGTTTCCGAGATTCATGTGAACAAATTTATTCAATTTTTTCATTTTAATACATGCAGTTTGTATGAACGAAATGTAAACAAGGCAGCTTGAAATTGTTATTACAATTAGTTTGTAGTTTCACCTGACAAATGTAATTAAATGTAGCAATTATGTATATCGTGCTTCTTTCTCAATATAACGCTTATATACATCGTTGCTAAACAATTTGAGAGCACATGCATCGATAGAAATTACATTATTTTATAAAAAATATTTGAACAAATATTAGCATTTTTGTATATTTTAAATTAATATACACAGCTACAGAAAAATTATAAAATTATAATTATTATTTTATATTTGGTTAAAATCATTGATTCAGGTTGTATTATGTTCCTTCCAATATAATGATTTCTCTTGTAAAATAGTGAAATGTAACTATTTAATGAAAAGCTGCACTGATGCTAGCAACGCAAAAATATAGTTTTGAACATTCAAACTCCGTAATCCATGAAATCTATTATTTTATTTATTTGTTTTATTCTCTTTTGCAAATTGCGATTATCCAAAGTAATTGCAACGTTTCGAGATGCAGTGTACATTAAAACGAATGGCCAGAAACAAAGTCTATTTATTTTACTATTGAATCAACATGACGAAATTCGTGTAAAGCAAACCTACTCGAATTTGGGGATACTGTATTCATTAATGCCATGTCTGATAAGTCCAGTAATGGTGTTACAGAAGTTCTAGCAACAACTAAGACGTCTTCAACGTACACGAAATGTTTCCTAAATATTCTACGAATTCCCAGACCGTTCTACAAACATTCCTACGTTAATCCAAGATTACTCTTAATGAACTTCGTACCATATTACTGGCATATGTAATTAATCATCTCTGCAGCCAGTGAAAACACAAATAACGAAATTTTAGCATTAACGTCCAAAGTAATAACAGACATATTTACGTTGTTATAAGAGAAAACATACCTGAAAATATATTCGACTTTTTCTGATAAAGAACAAAATAAATTCAACAAACACTGTATGTTTTTAACTCGGAAATGACATACTAATTTGCAATGAAACCAACTCAATGTTATTACACGCCTACTTACAATTAGATAAAACTTGTAATTTCATATTTAAGCACTCACGAGATAAAAACATTCTTACTTGTAATATAACTAAATTAATTTTTGCGTCTAGTCTACAAGATGGAACATTTCTATGTAATAAATGTATGCATACGCATGTATAATTGTTTCTTCGTGTTCCGCGCATTGATCAATTATTCGCAAATAAACGATATTATTAAGACATTTCACCACTGTCGCAAAAGAAGTATTACACGCATGAATTTTAACACATAAGTATCGATAAATGTATATTATAACAAATGGATTCCTTTCGAAGAAGGGAATTAAGCAACTTTTTATACCAGCAATCTGTAAAAGTTCAATTTTTTATGGCGACTTTAACTTTTGTACATATCTACCACTTATTATCGATTTTTACCAGAAAGCTTTTATATTCTACGAAACTTTTAAAAAATTGTTTATACTATAAGTTCGCGGATGGTATGATATCTTGAAGGATAATCAATTAACGATTATGGGAATGTAATCAGTTACTTCTAGTATAAATATTCCATCAACTAGACGCAGAAATTATCAACGGCAAGAAATCACATTCCACTACTGTGCTCAAGAACAATAACTAAAATACTGTTACAGATAAGCACTAATCTTTAAGAGTGTTGCATATGAATCTACCCATATTGTTTAATATTGATATTCGTCATAGAATATGAGGTTACAGAGTGCATAATGTATAGTCTGTTACAGTTAGCTGTAAGATACCGTTGTCCTCGTCGAGTACAATGCAGATTACATGAATTGCCGAAAGTTTACGTGATGCTGTTGGCTTCACTTCAAGAACACAATCATTTTTATCCTTTATTAATACTTTTACATTTACTTTCTTTATTCACCACATTTATCTTATTACTTTCATAATATGTGACTGTTTAATCGCTGGTATCTTTATTACCGCAAAATGCAATGAAAAATAACATTCATAATCATACAAATAATTATCGACAAAAATTCAACTTATGCACTAGATTATATTTCTTCGTATCTGGTCATAATAAAAGCTTACATTTTTTGAGTTTAAAGAAACGTCATTAATTAAATATTATTTTTAATTTTGAAAAAAAGTCTCTTTTAAAATGACTACAAACTTAAACCACTATTATTAAGACTTATACTTTAATAAATCGTTATGTTTGCCTCAGTGAACATATAAGCAGTACACTGACAGCATTTTTCGTGCCAATTATAACAAACCTTGCATTTTCAAGGAGATATTTTTTCTATTCTTCGATGATGCAATCGAAACGAAATAAATACCAGCTACTTCATATGATTCACTTACAAGAGAATTTCATTGGAAAGGATGCATAATTATATAAAAAAATGAAGCTGCAATACTAAAACCTCGTGGCATCTGCTCCGTACGTCCGACGAAAGAACCGTGTGCAGTAGTGACTTAGTAAGTGACCTTTTTCTGTTTCTTGTAACATATCATAAGATGTAAGCGAATCGAATGCTAAGATCGTTTCGCATTAAACACTAAAAAAGGTGAAGGTGGAAGTATGCGATTGACGAATAACACGTTGCATGGTCCCGACCTTGCGATAGTTACCGATGGCCCATGGGTTCCGGCTGCGCAGCGAATTGGCAAGCGAGTTTCGTACGGTGTCTAATAACAATCGATATTAGCTTGAGCAGTTGCTAGAGTTATCTTTATCACTCCGTTGGTGATTCGATGGTGGATCCGTGGCCAGTAACCAAGACAAACTTTACTTTGGTACTTGCATCGGCCTGCCCAGCCATCGATCCAGCCCAGCTGACCGAGCAAACTTCCTCGCACACGTTTGATTCATTGCGAAAGGGTACACGCCTTTCCGCGCATAACAATATCTCGTAAGCAACAATTATAATCTCTGATTCGATTATCATACGCACAATGAATCGGTGAACGGCCATTTAATTTAATAACTGTGTTGGACGAGTATACGCGTCGACTTAAAGTTCGAAATGATACGAATTCTTTCAAAGATGAATTCTTTATTTCTTCAAATAAACATGTAAATCTTCTTCGTTTTGCTTTATTTTTTCATTGAAATATATCTTAGGTGCGTTCGCTCTGCGTTTGATAAGTACACGCTTCCTTATTTAATGTATTTCGCACAAACTAAGCGATTTCAGAAACTAAATTCTGTATTTGACAATTTGACTCATATTGAATTTTATAAACATTATTTGGTAAATATTTGGGTCGATTTTTATTGGTGTAGTTACGCAAGCGTGTACCCTAATTGTCTGCTTTCAAATATTTAATTTCCAAGATCTAAGTGAACGAATATCAAGAACGATAGAACAAACTGTACAGTAAATGTCCATAAACCTTGTGTTAACACATTTACGTCGGGATATTATGTGTTTTTATATGTTTAATCAAGGATCATAGTAATGAGCAATGTTTGCGAACATGATGTTGGGGTGTATTCTTTTGTTACGTGCTTAGTTCTCTGTCTTATTAAACGATTTCATCTAATAATAACGTTAGCATATTAGTTTATTTTAATGTTGTAAAGTAGCTGCAAATGTGTTACAGATGTATTAAACGGGAAATCTTGAACCTTGTGCAGCAAATGCAGGATCATTTTTATCAAACCTTAACTGCGGCTGTATTTATTTATTTGTTCTCTGAGTTTTTTATTTATTTATGAATGTATAATTATAATTTATTGGATTTGTATAGTTACATAAATATAATATATGCAGTTAATATATATTATATTATATTATATTATATTATATTATATTATTAAATTATTATATAATATTATATATATGCTCCAATTCTTAAGCCACCGTACAATGAAAATTCTGTCACAAGTCAAAATAATCCTGCATTCGTTTCAGTTCTGGACTACTCATTTTTCGAAGACTATAATTTAACTACTGCACGTAAAATTACAATTTTCACGCGGAATTCCCAACGAATTTGTTAGATAAATTAAAAGTTCTTTCTCGAAATAGTTCGGAGTAACCAGTAAAATCTTGAAACTGCAGACGGTTCGGTAGAGAGAGAGAGAGAGAGAGAGAGAGAGAGAGAGAGAGAGAGAGTAAAGCTCACATAGCGATCGAAGTAATAGCGAAGAAAAGTTTATAGACCAACGTACTCGTTTGCAGAACGCATAAAATTTGATATCAGAACGCAAGGAATATGTTTCACGTGGTTCGTTGTGTTATTTCTGTTTTAACGATAGGATCGATAGCGCAAGTTCCTTTACTGTCTAGGAACGTTATACGATTTGATAACTGAAGGCACTAAAAATTACTGTAAATCTTTTAAATGCTATTCACTTTTAATATCTCTTTTAATTCCTTCAATCAATAAAATAATTTTCTTTTTTAAAATTGTTATAATCTACAGCGCATACAAGGGAACATTTTAACATAAATTAAATTGTTAACTGCAATATTTGAATAATGAAAGCTATAAAATCATTAAAGATGATCTGGAGAATCACATTCAATTTATAAGCGTGTGCATAAAATCGATAAATCTTTTATTTATTATTCACTTCTATTTGTTATTCGTCATTATGATTATTCACACTGTAGTTTACGAATCTTATACCTTGAATATTACAGTTTATTTCAAACGAATCTTTAAATTCAGAAGTTTTTTCTATATCTTGTTTTACCTGTTCATCTGTCCTATTACATATACCCTATTGTCCAGACGTATGGACATAATGGAGTAAAATATTTAAAAAGTAAATTATAAATTATGTATTATAATTATGTATAATTAAAGACTAGTATAATATAATATAATTTTATTAAACTATTTTTTTTTATCTAAGAAAAAAGCAAGTTCCTTTTAATTCAAGAACTAATGTTTTGTAATTTTCACAATAAAATTCATGACGAATAAGGATTTTTATATTTTACATCTTCTTTTCATGATAAAAAAATTGAGGGTTTTTATACTTTAAATTGTTTTTTTCAAAGTAGCAATATTTCATTAATTTTTCCTATACTATTATTATCGTAATTGATTTTAATATGATTTTATAACAAAGCGATTCTATAATAACATGTTTAAACACAACTTGTATTCCCATTGTAGATACTGTCACTTTGAAATTTCTTATTTCATAAGATTTCCTTCGCACACATCTCTTGATCTCGTATCCTTACGTTCTGGTTTCTTCTTCTATACCTTAGGGAAATATAACGAAGTTCAAAGCACTCGTCGGCCGCCACAAAACTTTAACGCAACAATTTTATAAGAAAAATCTCCAGCGGGATTCCAATTTATAGATCTTCGCTTTTGAAATAAACACGAAAGTCTCAATCTTTTATTCACCAAGTTTATCGAATTAAACAATCTACTTCACTGTTTGCAGTTTTCAAAGAAAGTCACACCAATAATTCAACAACTCTGTCACCTATTTTTATACAATTTTAGTTTAACTTGTTGCATATGGATACTACAAAATCATTTAAACTAGTGATCAATAAATCCGTGTAAAATTATTCTTATTTCTTTACAATTAGACATATAGTAACTTCTCATTTTTATGTAAATTATTAAAGAAAGATTATAATAATGTTTCAGAAATTGAATCATAATACGAGTAAGGGTTTTTCTATTTATTTTGTTTATTTTTTTGATAAACAAGTGCAGACAATTATTTTTGTTTTTTCAAGAAAGATAGTCACTGATCTAACTCCTTGCCTTACGATTTCTTTCGCAACTGTCCCCCTTAACTTTCTATTATCCTTAATAATTAATTATAAAAAACATGTTTTTACTTTTATTGTGAATGTTAAATATTGGCAAGAGAAAAGAAAATGTGATTTCGATTTGAAAAACATAAAGTAATACTCGTTAAATTCAGTTTCAAAGCTTCATCACGAGTCCTACTTGATATTAAAAGGCAAAGAGTTAAGCATTTTCCCGTAATACAGATTTTAAGAAGCGCAAAAGAAAATGCACGACAATTGCTCAAGCGAAGAATTGAATAATCCATTAGACGGAAAGGATGTTTGAAGAAGAGAGAAATGATAGAAATAATTTTACGCTGATTCAATCCTTAAAATCATTGGATTGGCGGAACTTGCTTCTACCGTCCTTCCGTTGCAGCGAAAATCCTATAAGAAATCGCGGCGTACATATTAATATTCGAACGTAACTGAACATTCTGCCGAATGTAACTTAGTTATAAGCATTCGAGGATAACCCACGTAATATTAATTCGTAATCGATCGCCAGATAGAAATTATTATTAAACGGTCGTGATCAGACATTGATATCCACGCAAGATGAAACGTTACTGAACTTTTCTATAATACTTTGTATATAACATTGGACGTTGTATAATATTGACGATAGACAATGTAATATTTAATGTTAGAGGAACGCTATCGAAAGGTTAGGGCTAAATTTCTATTTTCACTCTCAATCGTTTTTGTCTAAACGAGAATCGCCAGGGCTTGTTACAAGTACCTAAGCGCTATTCAAGTTTCTCATAGACTGATCATGATCTGTCGATGTTCCAAAAGAACATTTCCGTGCACTTCATAGAATTCACTATATTACAATGTTCTATTGAATGTATATCTTTGTACAGAAGGATCGATATCTCAAGTTAAGTAACATTAATAATAACTTTTAATTACTGTACTCCATTTCACACTGAATTTGTTCATTTTTGTCGCTCTTTGGTTCAGTGATGATAATTAAAAGAACGATACATTTATTTTCGTTTGAAATTCGAAGAACTCACATAGACGCGCAAATAGTCAGATATGAATTAAACAAGGGTGTTATTCTATGAAAATGTCAAAATTTTCGAAGAAGCAATGAACGAATACTTCTAATTCCCCAAATATAAACGAATACCAAATGTTCAACACCTCTTTTATTTAACAAGTACGTGTGTTATAACAGAGTTTATTTTAATAAATTTCATACTTTTTCAAGCATTTCTCCATAACAATTTTTTATAAGTAATCTATATCAGAAAAAATGTGAAGTAAATTATGTTATAATTATAAATTATACGCATACAAATAAATGTAAAGAATTATCATCCATATTATAATAACTCTTTAGCAATAGGACAAGCTTATTTAAGTTTCGTTGCTTTGTTTCAAAATATTTACAAAATGTTTAAATAAAGAAATACACCGGTCCTTAAAACATTAGATGAAAAACGATTGAAGTATAGTTTACAGTTGCCCATACTCTTTCTCCCGCTGGTAAATCACGTCGGATGTTTGTACAAATCGAGCGAGTTCAACGGAATGGCGAAAGCCGTGGCAAGAAGATGAAAATACGATAAGAAATATTCGTTTGAAACTTTTCGCGCGTCGTCTATCAAAATGAGTTTCTTGGCCGATGGCGGTAGTGTACCATACTTATGAGATTTATCACACACCAAGTTTCGCAATTTCGTTCATTTATGAAGATTCTTCCTTTCATTCGATCTCTTTGTATGGTGTCTCGCATACGTTCGATTTTTCTACAGTATAATTACGTATGAGAAATTCGTCGAAACATTTTCCACGCCTTTCATTAAATCGCTTATATCAGCGCCCGATTTTTATAACGGCGGTATATGTAAATTGACAAATGTGTGCATGAGAGTGCAAGCGAGTGCAAGGGAGAGAAAAGAGCAATTGAATACTATAAAACAGTGGTTCCAGTTGGTATCGTGTAAGAAATATAATCATTTAATATTTTGTAAATAGTTAAGGAAGTGAACAATGTGGGAGAGTATTCGAGAAGTCACTGTAAATACACGAAAACGAATTGCTGAGTATTGTACGTCTGTATAATCGTTTGTCGAACAATGTATCTTATATTACAGAATAATAAAAGAAAAATGACTTATCAAAATTCTTGGAATTTTATTTTCAACATACCTCTCATTTAACGAATAATTATTTAGGAATTCATTGTATACTTTCCAAGCTTCGTCTGTATCAATTATTCAATGAAATTATCTTGAATAAGAAATTCATTTCTATTAAAATAGAAGACAAAATACTTATTATTAATTATTCATAATATTAAATTACAAAATATTAAATCATACCGATATATTGAATAAAACTGAATCATTCGTTTACAAACTCAAATATAAAGCTAGTTATAATAAAAACTCGGTCCTGTTTGATAACGATTTTCAATCAAAAAAATTGACGTGAAAAATATTAATTTTTGAAATATATTTAATAATAATGTAACATATCTATTCAAAATTAGTATACAAGAAGTTTAGCAGTAAATCAGAATTTTAAGAAGTAATATTATATGTATGCAAAAATAAATTGAAAATCAAGAAAACGGAAATTGGAAAATATAAGACAGGCTTCATTTACAAGTTACTAACAGCCATAAGTACCTTTGCAATTTAACAATCCATTAATTATGGAGTGAAATTTTATTTTCGAGTGCAACAGTTCATACAAATTATGCGATTACAGAATTTTTTTAGATTTAAATGAAATATATTTTCAAGATTTAAGTATTTATATTTTGTATAAAATTCATTAGATAGTCAAAAGTTGAGGAAATTTACATAAATTACAATAAAAGTATACTAGTATTAAAAATTACAATAAAATTATATTATTCTATAAACAGCTAACCATTTAAACGAATATAATTAAAAACATAATAATAATTTTATTATTCTACGTTTATTAAAAATCTGATTCTGCATTTTAAAGAATATGAATTTTTATATACTTAAAAATGATAGGTACATACCAATGTAAAATCTAAAAGTAGAATATTGAATTTCTTTATTGTAACAATTATTATAATAACGCACTTCTAGTCAAAGTTTATTATTTAAAGTACAGTTATTTTTCAAACTATATTTTTAATGATGAATATAAATTTCTGTGAAGAAAAGTTAATATTAATATAAACACGAATGAAAGAAACGAATAAATTCCGAATTGTGCCGGTATATAATACAATGAAAAGAGAAGTTCAAATCAATTCTTTTTCTTTTCAATCTAATACTCATTTCGGAAACAATTTTGTCTTAGTTTTTTAAATGCAGCTCAAAGCAATATAAGTTTGCACATATATTCGCGATTTCGTAATTAAAGACGATATTACAGAACACAATAAATTTTCTTGATGCATAATTATGCAATGAATTTTCTTTGAGTGACAAGAAAATGAACTTCTGCGTGAAAAAAGCGAACTATCCGTTCTATCACAAAGGACTGCACAATGTAGAAAGAAATTTTTCATATTTTACTGCTTAGTTAATTTTACTGAGGATAAAAGCCTTTCATTTCCCTTTCCTCCGAACGTAAAATGTCGACATAATGAGTTATAGTTACGCACGACATGATTTCGTAGGACGTTGACATAATGTATGAAAAGATTAAATTAAGTTCTTGCGAACGTAGTATCATAAATACAGTGAAAAATAATACTGTCGAACAAATTTAAACTTCTTTTCTCACCTGCAATGTCTATAAAATGATTCTTATAGAGTTTCTTATCCTAAACACAAATTCGAAAACGAAATTGCTCTTTCACTCTCAATCTTCAAAAACTACGGATTCCTGTGAAATAAATAAATATTTATATTTATTTTCAGATAGAAGGTTAAAATTTACCATAAAACTTTACTCAATACCTCTAAATGATGATCAAACATTAGAAAAGGGCAGATATGCATAAATACTGCAGTAGTTTTGCATTTTTACGAAAAGTACTTTACCTAACACGAATTTTCTACACAGTATTGAATTTTGAAGATATTTCTGAAAAAGAAACTTACCACAAAAAGTGTGAGAACGGTTTTACATTCGAACAGGTTAAAAAACCTGTGTTTTTCGAAAGTTTAAAAATAAAGTGACAGAGCAATTCTTTTTCCGGATTCGTGTTTAGAACCAGAAACTCTATAAGAATCACTATTTGGGTATTGCAGATAAAAAATCGCGTTGGATAGTGTAATATTATTTAAATTACAGTCAATATAAACTAAGTTGATATGTTTAATTCAGACGAATTTAATAGTTGCGTAGAGCAGTATGATTGATCTTGTCAGGAAAATTTGAAAGAAAATATCGATAAAAAGGTTGAAACAAAAGTAAAAGATAGAATTTTCATAATTAGAAAAAATATCAAGTAATGTTAAACTAGAACAATTGAAATAAGAACATTTTAATTAAACAATTCCTATCAAATTCTTTCAGAAGTTAATAACTTTGAAAGTGCTTACAATACTCTGATATCATGTATTTAATTATTGTTACCATTTCTCTGTTAGAAAATACAGAAATTGAAGCAATCGTGTAATATTATTGCTAATTTTGGTAATTCTACAGAAAAAAGTGAGTGTGCCAGTCATAGGTTTCAATGAGACTCAAATATATTTTCAGGAGTATACAGCTGTTTGTCAACATAAGATATCATCGAAGCTTTCTGCAACATCTTTAGATATGAAGGAACCCCTTATACGATCGAATTTACAAGAACTTAATATACTAAATTCACGCTTGTAAGCTCAGTTATTGTAAACTTGTGGAGCTTAACATATTGAGAGTTTCCGACTATTGAAAATCATATAAATGCTTAAATTATGAAGGTACCTATATATGTAGCTGTTAATCATAAGATGAACTTTGTAAAACTGAAAACTGGAGCACAAATGTACAACATCGAATGTGTGTAGCAGGAATCAGGGACAAATATTCCACGATTTGGGACTAGAAAGTATTATGCTGGATACATTACGGAATTTTTATTTCGCCGGAACTTCAATTATAATAGCTATATTAATACATTTTTCGTACTATAACTAAAATATTTCCAATTAATGAATACTAATATAATTAAAAATTTCATGTAACCGTCGTTTTTTTAGTGTATTATCTAGTCCAAGCCTAATATAAATCTAATTTAAACTAACATAAAGAAAATTATTAAATTTATAGCATCGAATATATGGTATTAAGTATTCTTGCGAATATCTCGGAAACTAAAGACGGGTAGCAGCAGTAACATATATAATACCATTTTCTATATAATTATCCTACATCATTTTATTTCGGGATGAAGGAATTTATAATATTAGCAGTTGGTATGGATTCTCATAAATTTTCAATTATCTTCAACAAATAAGAAGAATTACTTATCGATAGTAAAAAGTTATTCCCAATCTGCAATATTTGCAAAATCTCCAGCAGAGTGCGCAGGTGTTTGATCAAGCCGGCGCACAGGAGAGACGGAAGAACATATGTTTAAGTAGTGGCGCATGCGCAATCATTGCTTCCGCGACGTACCTAGCCATCTTTCCAGTCAAGCAAAAGTGATTGTTTTCAGCTTTAGTCTTATTTAACGGAACTTTTATTAATGTCAGAGCCACAGTCCGCGCTTCTACTACGAAAACAATTAGCAGGTATCCAGTAAAAAGAGTATAAGTGTTAAGTGTGATCCGTGCAACGCATTCGAGCTCGACGAAAAGCCGGAACCGTTTTCGTAGTCCAAACTCGTGCGACCTCCTCACCGCCGTGTCTCGACCTTCAAGATTGCTTTGTGAACATTTTTTCTCTCGCGATATCAGTTTCCTCGAGACCTTTGCAACCGTATCTGGCCACCGGTTCGATCTTTCGTTATCTCGCGGTGGCCCTGCGCCCGATTAGGGCGTGAAAATCAATACGGCTACGGAACCGTCGTGTACCTCCCATGAATAACTTTAACCTAGCATTCGGTATCGCGGTTATCCCTAACAATATCCTTACACGATATAAGTC